TCTGCCTCGGATGAGTCCGTAGAGCCGAGTGGCCCGTACCCAGAGCTTGTTGGCTGCCTCTTATACCTGATGACCTGCACTCGACCTGACCTTGCATACCCTCTTAGCATCTTGGCACGCTATGTTGCTCCTGGGAGACACCGACCAGAGCACATGGTTGCAGTGAAGAGGGTGTTGCGCTACTTGTGCAGTACGTCGGGCATGGGGCTCGTGCTTGGAGGGCGGAGTCCAGTGGTCCTCACTGGTCACGCAGACGCGTCTTGGGTTGACGAGTTGGCTGCGCAGCGGTCGTCACAGGGTTACACCTTCAGCCTTGGTTCCGGCTCTGTTTCGTGGCGGTCTACCCGCGCGTCTTCGGTTCTCAGCTCCAGCTGTGAGGCTGAGATCTACGCAGGGGCCATGGCTGCACAGGAGTTACGCTGGCTCACCTACCTGCTGAGTGACCTAGGAGAGCCGCCTCGTTCTCCTCCAGTTCTGTACGTAGACAACAAGGCCATGCTGGTCTTGTGTCGGGAGCACAGACTGGAGCACAGAACGAAGCACATTGCTCTTCGCTACTTCCTTGCTCGTGAGCTGCAGCAGTGTGGTCAGCTGTGCCTTGCTTACATGGCCTCTTGGGCCAACACTTCTGATATCTTTACCAAGGCACTTCAGCATTGTGATCATCAGCGCTTTTGTGCGATGCTAGGTCTTGTGCCTACTTGGCCTCACTTGCTCACTTCTTGACTTTGCTTGTACTGTGATCTATATATACATGCACTTGCATGCTTACCCTTGTTAGGTTGAGATCACTGTCTTGCTTGTTCACCTTGATATATAACTCTGCATGTGAACTGGCCTTGTGGCCTTGTGCTTGTGCTCAGATTGTATGGTGACGTTGTGATCCACCCTGAGCTTGCCTTGCTTTGCTTGACTGGTCTTGTGACCTCTTGTTCTCCCCCACTTTGCCTATGGGGGTGTGTCAAACATATATGACATAGTCTGTGTAGGCTGTAGTGGGGTAGACTATATGAGGCACAACACTGCTAGGTTTTCTCACTTGTACCCATCTCCTTGCTAGTTCAGCCATTCCTTGTTCTATCCTTTTCACAACATGACCCCTTGGTTGTCCACGCGAACCAACGTGTGGCTGTGTCGAAGACGGTCCATGAAGGTGCGTAGCGCCCAGAGCACGCCTTCGAACTCGCGTCGGGCATGCCAGCGCTTGCGTTGCTCGGTGTTCCGTGAAAGGTAGAGAGGGTGGCACCCCAGCTGTGCGCGCTGGCGTCCACCTGGATGATGGCGTCGTAGTGATGCGGATGGTGGAATGGTGCACCGTTGAAACGGTCGAACTGTTCCATCCAGAAGCGCAGCTCATGGATGGCCTCTGTTGACAACGACACCTTCGAGTGCCATGAGGGCGCGTTGTTGATAAGTTGCAATAGCTTGTGGCTGAAGGCTCGTGCGGTTGCGCCCAAAGCAAGGCTCATGGAAGCAAGCATTCCAGTCACTCGAGCGATTTGACGAACGTTCACTTGGTGACCAGCGCATCCGGAATCGATGAGACTTGTAATTGTAGCTCGTAACAGGGAGCGCCGTTCTTCTCCGACCGAGAATTTGCCGACTTGTGTGTTCAACTCGAGTCCGAGGAAGCGAAGCTCCTGTGTGGGGACCACACGCGACTTTCTCGTTGATTACAATGCCGGCGTCCCTCAGGTCCCTTACGATTTGTGCGCATGCGGCCCCCGCTTGTTGTGCGGTCTCTGCCAGGATCAGTATATCATCCACACACGGGATAACCTGCCACCCGAGAGATCTCCATCGTCGGGCCAACTGTTTGATGAGCTGCGTGAAGATGAAAGGGGCCGTGGCCAGACCGAATGGCAGGGACTGGAAGAAGTAGTAGTTGCCTTCGAACTGGAATCCTAAGTACTTCCAGCAGGTGGGATGGATGTCCACATGATAATACCCTGAATTGAGATCAACCGATAGCATCCAGTCGTTCGGCTGGATCAACCCCGCTACCCGCGCGAGGCCTTCGTACTTGAATTTAGGAATGCACAAGTGCTCGTTGACCTTCCGCAGGTCGAGGATGAGCCGACATTTTTCTCGCTGTTCGACCACATTGAGTGGGCTAATGCATATTAGTGTTGATCGGTCAGGAGCTTTTGCCGCTGCTCCTGTTCGCAGGAGGTCCTTAATGGCATCGCGTGTGAAATCCGAATGCGCCTGGGCGCCTGCGTGGTTTTTCCTTTCGAAAGGTGCCGGGGGTCCATTCTTCCATGGGAACCAATATCCGTGTGAGAGAATGGACAGGATGAGGCTACTATCGCACCAGGAGCGCCACCAGTGTAGTTCTCAGTGGAGCCGTCCGTGCATTATAAATATTGTCTTGTCAGAAACCGAACAATGAGGAATCAACTGACTTCCAGAGCCTTTATACTAAGGAACTAAGGCTGAGAGGCTGAGGGAAGAGGCCTAGATGCCTCTCTCTCTCTCTCTCTCTCTCTCTCTCTCTCTCTCTCTCTCTCTCTCTCTCTCTCTCTCTCTCTCTCTCTCTCTCTCTCTCTTTGTTTTTAAGACGTGTGTGTGAACAACAACACAATGCATGATCCTCCATGCTGTTTCTTAGGTCCTCCTGGACCTTGATGGGTCTCTTGATGCGTGATGAGGCTCACGCGTCACTTGATTTCGTATTAAGGTGTATGAACCTTTCGGCTCGATTTTTCTCACCCCTTTTTTTTTTTTTGTTCTTCTTCTTCTTCTTTGCTTTGCACTGGTTGTTGCTGGTTGCCCATATCATAGTGCAGACCATCCTTGAGCCCAAGGTACCAAATTGAAGTAAAGATGACAAGCACTTCCATAGGCAACTTATCATCACATAATAACCATTTCTTGCAAAAATACACAAAAGCACCAATAGCTAATGGCCGCTAGGGCTCCTCCTTGGGCTCCTTGGCCTTAGTTCCTTAGACTGCTCCTCAGCCTTGCACCCCCTGGTGCAGCCCCGTTATGTCCCTTTGACATAAGGGGAAAGGGCTCCGCCCTTTGGTCCCTCACACTACGGGTGTGGGGTCTTGGCCTCCACGCCCCCCCATGGGGCAGGTGTTCGCCATGTGGCCGGGCTGGCCGCAGCGAAAACAGGTACCCTTGAAGGTCCTTTCCTGGCAAGAGCCTTGCCCGGAGCCTTTGTTGCCGAGTTCGCCGGCGTTGAGGCCACCCCCGCGGGTGGGACGGTTGTAGGTCATGCGAGCGCGCTTCGACGCGGCCACGTCGGCCACGGCCAGCTTGTACGAACGGGAGGTCAGCACGCTCTTGGACTTGTAGAGCTGGAAGCGATTGGCCGCCTCGAAGCCCGCCTCGTCCGCCACCAAGAGCACCTCAAACCGCCTCTTATCATATTTTGCAGAAGTTGTAGCGTCCTCATTTTTTGAAGTCCCCGCCGTAACAGGCGCGTGCTGCTGTAACAGCGCCAGTAGTGCTTGCAGTTGCGCCGGGTTGAACGGGGGGTTGGGGTCGGTCGTGGCTGGCGTGTGGCTCGAGGGTGCTGGCGCCAGGGCTCTCGTTATCAGGGTAAAATACCCTTTTTGCACTGACTGGCGGCCGCTTTTTTTCAGTTACCCTTTCACAGGCAGGGTAATGGATTTTTTACCCTAGGCCAGAAAGTGTAAGTTTTTTTTAACCCTTTGAAAAACAGCGTAAGTAATTCATTTCCCTGACTGTACACTATACGATCTCAGTCATACTGTTTACGGAATGATCCGAAGCGAGACGAAACACTACCTGGCCCCTGCAAAACGCTCCTAACAGCAAGACTCGAACCTGCGACCTTTCGAATCTTAACCGTAATCGAACAAACTGAGCGACTAAGTGCTGACTTCCCTGGCCGAACAAACCTCCTTTACATCGTTATATATATAAAATTTAAAACAAAAATACCCTGGCCGAACAAACTTTGTTTTTACCCTGCTTTTGTCAGGGAAACAAAATTTTTACCCTACACATCAGGGTTGACTATACCTAGAACCCTGATTACTAAGGGTGGCCCAAAACGAATCTGAAGCCCTGGCTGGCGCGTGCTGCTTGACACGTGCGCCTGAGGGGCTCGAGGTGGTGGTCAAGACAGCCGCGTCAGCGGTTGTCTTTTTCGCCACTTCGCGCGGCTGCCTGGAAGCCGAGCGAGGGGCGGAAGGCTCATCGGAAGGCGCCGGGGAGCCTCCGCCCAGCAGGACCTCGACGCCAGTGACGAGGTCCTCGCGTGACTCCTCGGCAGCCCGTTTCGGGCGACGGGCGGTTGTCCTGGTCGGAATGTTGGCATTCGGGGCGACGGGAGTGTCTGTCGCCTTGTTGCCCTCGCGATTAGCAGTGTTGTTCGCCAGCGCCATGGCTCCAATGTTGTGTTTAAAAATATCCGCAAGTAGAGTCGTCGGGGTAGTGAAGCGAGGGAGTGACTGCGTCTTCGCCGGACTGGACGAGATTGAAAACTCAAACTTCGAAATTGTAAAGAAGAACGTGGGTGAGGCCGAATGGCCTCAACCCCCTCTTTTGTAGCCAAAAGAGGGCGAGTAGCGATGCGACGCTGCCTTTGCTGCGTTGGCAATCGCTACACTTTCACAATACACAATTTTTGAAAAGTGTTACACACTTTTAAAAATTTACATTTCCTTTCGTACAGTATACAGGATGTGGTGGAAATCAATACTTTTCCGGGGATGATGATGTGGGATATGTATGTGCTTCGCTCATTTCCTCCTCCTTGGTAACTCACATAATCCAACCATGCCAACTGCTGCCTTAATATGTGTGATATACAGTATAATGGAGTATCTTTGTTCAGGCATATGCAGCAACTGCTTGGTCAAAGGCAGCTTCAGATGCTAGTTGGCGCTGTACAAGAATGTGATCCGGTGCCACCGTCCTCAGTTGGCTGCACAGCACAGCGCAACAGCACTCCAGGTTAGACACACTTGAGCCCTCATCACAGGGTAAATTCCCTCGCAGCAGCGGGCGGCAGTGAGCACTCACTTGAGGTAGCGCGTGGCGGGCTTCCCTCGGTGCAGCGAGCAGACGACGAGGTTGGCGAGCGTGTTGGCGTCCTTGGCGTCCTGCCACCACCAAGCACCAAGCACCAAGGACGGACCAGTGGACACAGCAGCGCCAGCACGGCAGGAGAAGACGGGATTGGCAAGAGCACACATGCGAGTCTCAGCATCCAGAGGCAGCACAACAGAACCCAGCAGCTCACCTTGTTGAGGGCGTCCAGCAGCAGCTCACCTTGTTGAGGGCGTCCAGCAGCAGCTCACCTTGTTGAGGGCGTCCAGCAGCAGCTCACCTTGTTGAGGGCGTCCAGCAGCAGCTCACCTTGTTGAGGGCGTCCAGCAGCAGCTCACCTTGTTGAGGGCGTCCAGCAGCAGCTCACCTTGTTGAGGGCGTCCAGCAGCAGCTCACCTTGTTGAGGGCGTCCAGCAGCAGCTCACCTTGTTGAGGGCGTCCAGCAGCAGCGCCTCGGCGTCCTCGAAGTTACCGGAGTGCATCTGGGCGAGCGCGCTGCCGTTGAGCAGCGCCACCGTCGGGCTGAACTTGTCCGCCAGCTCCTGAAACACGTACGTCGCCTCCTGCACCTTCGACCCGCCCTGCTTGCATGCACACACGCACACACACACACACACGCCACACAGCCCACCGCACCACACCATGTGAGCGGCCATAATTGCGGAAGCACAGAGTGTGCATGAGGGTGAGAAAGAGCAGGGGTGGGCGGGTGGGCAGTGGAGTGGAGTGGAGTGGAGTGGAGAGGAGAGGAGTGGAGTGGAGAGGAGAGGAGTGGAGTGGAGTGGAGAGGAGAGGAGTGGAGTGGAGAGGAGAGGAGAGGAGAGGAGAGGAGAGGAGAGGACGAACCATGGCGAGGCTGACCCAGCCGAGGGCGAGCTGTGTGAGCGTGGCGTCCTCGTCCACCTGCTGCATCGCCTTCACCTGCTTCTCCGCTAGGTCCGCACGGTCCATCAGTAGAAACACCTGCACGCTCAACGCCATGCTGGGGGGAGAAGTGGCAGCACCACAGCACATCCCAGCACACCCCAGCTCAGCACACCACAGCCCAGCACAACACAGCGCGGCACGGCATGGTTCAGCACAGAACAGCAGGCACAGCACAGCAGGGCACAGCACCACACAGCACTTGACATTTGTCCTTCCGCCTACACACATGCCACCAGCACCAAAAGCAGCAGCACAACCACCCCACCCCATCCGAGCAGCACCACCCCATCCCACTGCCCCACCCCTGCCCAACCCCCCACCACGCCCCGTCCCCCCACCCACCCCACACCCTCCCACCGCCCCACACCCTCCAACCGCCCCGCCCCATCCACCCAGCCCGCCCCGTCCCGCACGTACAGCTCGAGGTTGCCGGGGAGGGCGTGCGCGACCTTGAGCGCGTCGACGAAGTTCTGCTCGCGCGCGTACACGGTGCCCGCCACGAGCAGCAGCGTCGCGTTCTTGCCGATCACGGGGTCCGACAGATACCCCTCCAGCCCCGCCACCACCGCGTCCTGTCGCCCCGCCCCGCGCACCAAGTCAGACACCAGATTCCACCCCAATTTGAACGAACTCAACACTTGCGACGAACGCGGAAAGCGCGACGAATGCGAAGCGCGCAGGGTGGGCGGCGCACCTTGTTGCTTTTGTCGGCGAGGTAGGTTGCGAGCAGCTTGACGGCCTGCAGCGCCGTGGCGGACGACTCCGTGATCTCGTCCATCACCAGCTGCCGCGGGCCACGTGGGAGGGAAGGCACGCTCGTCAGAGCACGGACCACGAGGAATGCCGGAAACGAGAGTTACGCGTGAGGGCGGCGGCGCACCTGGTAGCTGCCGAGCGCACCTGGTAGCTGCCGAGCGCACCTGGTAGCTGCCGAGCGCACCTGGTATCTGCCGAGCGCACCTGGTAGCTGCCGAGCGCGATGTAGGAGCGGTACACGATGGTGTCGCGCTCGATGCTCTCCGCCTCCGACAGCCCTCCCACGCCGCTCTCGTTGATCGCCGCCTGGTACGCGCCCAGCTGAAAGTTGTTCCGCAGAGAGAATAGCGCATCCGGACCGCTCATCTTGGCGACGGGAGCTCGGTGCGCTGAGCGACGAAATCCCTAGCTGTTCTTCGATAGTCACGCAGCAACGCAGATCCGGTTCGGGGAGTAACACAATTCAGGCAGTGTCGTGGAACAAAGGAGGCAAGCGGGATTTCCTACTGGTGTGAGGAAGGGTTGTGTTACGGGTGCAATGGAACGAGATAGCGAGGATTGCACTATGTTGCACTATGAAAGTGTTGATTGATGCAAGGAAATTTCATTTTCCTTACTTCGCGTCCCTGCTCAGCGCGTACACCACTGTTCCCGCCAACAGCACTCAACAGTAATCCGTTACCACTCGCGACACTCGCCTCAACACTGTTCCCGCCACTGTTCACGACGCGACCCAACCTCACGGTTCGGTTGGTCACCCGCGCTCCGGACCTCCGCCTCGACATTTCCCAACCTCGGCGCTAGGCCCATCGCGCACCCCATTTTCCACACATTACCGTTACCACTGTAGTTTCGCTATATATTCTTCGGTCATGCCTTCGCTCATTGTGCTCTTGCTTCGATAGTGCAATTTTCGTTTGTTCACTCAATTGCACTTGTAACACTTGGTATTCAGAGCCTAAGATCTCTTCTCGGACCACACCCGCACCTTCGCTTCCCCACTATCTCAATTCTTGGGGGGGGTAGACGTCTCTCAGCGAAACAAGCACCGCCGCTCGTAGTGCTCTCTCGTAAGCACGCACGGCCACGACAGAGGCTATCGCTGAGCTTGCCCGACACCCCCGCCATGGTCGAATTCACTCTCGCGACAGACACTGACGCAGGAGCAACTCGACCGTCTTGTGCGCCAAATCGAAGACTTGGCGCTCGAAATTGCGACACTCACGGCGGAACGCGACTCCGCTCGTAAGCAATCCACGGTGAATGCTCCAGCGCCACCACACGTACCTGCAAATGCACCTGCACAATCGGAGGAGCCGATCGTCATTTCAACAGGCACACCGACAGAAAACGACAGCGTGGGACAGCGCTCAGGCGCAGCCAGTGATGGCGCCGCTCAATCGATGCCTGGCATGGAGAGGAACAGGACCACGCCAAGCCCGCGGGGACCTCGCGAAGCCCGTCGGCACGTGAAGTTTGCGGCGACAAGTGGCGACCACACCATCATGGCACCAATGCCACTCAAGCCGCAACGCCCGCCCTATTTCGACCCGAGCCAGCGTGGAGGTCCGACGGTTCAATCGTAGGTCTTCACGATGAACGTCTTTTTCGACGCGAACTACGTCCAGTCGGACGCAACGAAGATCCGATATGCCGTCTCGCTGCTGAGGGGCCTCGCCATGGACTGGTGGCGAGTCATCGTGACGTCGTCACACGCCTACGAGCCACCGTCGCAAGAGGAAGGGCCCACGGGTCCAGCTGTCACCTGGAGTTCATTTTGCGAAACCGCACAGTACAGCACGTGGGGCGTGTGGTGCGCAGGGCTTCGGGCGCACTTCGAGCCGATCGCGGCTTCTATTTCGGTGCATCAGAGACTGCGTACTTGGCGGCAGCTCGGGTCGGTTCAAGACTATACGAGCGGTTTTCTCGCATTATGCGAACAAGTCGGCTATATGCACGAAGCGGAGTGGGTGGACCATTACGTCGGAGGGCTGAAACCGGACGTCTCGCACGAAGTCATGCTACGCGGGCTCTCAAATTTCAACGATATTCTCACGCTCGCCGAGAAAATCGACATTTTACGCCGTCCGAGACCGGGGTCCTGATACGGACATCGCCCTCAGGGACTGATCGAGCACACCACCGTACATGCCGTTGCGACAAATGCAGCTGCCGCGCCATTTAAAGGGCGCTGCTTTGCTTGCAATAGGCCGGGCCATCGCAAGAGTGAGTGCCTGGAGGAGCTAAGGCGCCACGGAGCAGAGTAGGGGAGGGAGTCTCCAAGGCAGGGAAACGCCAGCAGTCAGTAGGAATCGGGCCAACTACTGACGAGACTGGCTGCTCGCCCAACCTCACCAACCCTCACCGAGTCACAGTACCGATTCACGCCATCGATCGGGCTCAGACGAACAAGGAGGGTACAGCGACGGATTGCCCAGTACTGATCCATGGGAAAATACAGGGAGGAGAAGTGCCCAGTTTAGTTAATACCGTGACCGCACGGAAGCTGCAGCTGGCACTTTGTTGGTGTTTACCAGAGATAGATGCATGCTTAGTTGATGGCACACCGCTGGCCATATGGGAGAAGGTGGAGAAAGTAAAAGTCCGCTGCGGGAGGAACTTCGGGTTTACACAGGAAATGCTCGCGACGACACTGGATGGGCATGACATTTTACTGGGACGTGACTGGCTGCGACAGTACAACCCGCGAATTGACTGGACGACGGGTTGTTGCACTGTGTGAAGTAGCGGTAACTGGGTGAACTGCCTCGCTGGCAGTTGCCTGAGTCTTCAACGGTCCACGTCAACGCCATCACAATGAAACGAGCTATCGCCGATGGAGCTGACGTATACGCAGTGGACATCGCAGTGGTAGAGGAAGCAGAGCAGCCAAGCGATTTCAAGAAACTGCTGGCAGCGGTACCGCCTGAACTACAAGAACTGTTGAAACGGTACCCGGGGATTTTTCCTGACGACTTACCGGAGGGACTGCCACCTCAGCGAGCACACGACCACCAAATAGAGTTAGATCCGGGGGAACAGCCAATGGTACAGCGACAGTTCAGGCTGACACAGCTCGAGCTCGCCGAACTGAGGACGCAGTTAGATTACCTGTAAGAGAAGAAATTCATCCGACAGAGTTCGTCACCGTTCGCCGCACCGATAATGTTCACACCGAAAAAAACCGGAGGGTTTCGCATGTGCATCGATTACAGAGCACTGAACAGGTAACAGTCAAGTCGCGATACCACATTCCCCGCACCGACAAATTGATAGATCAACTGCGAACAGCACGGGTCTTTTCAAAAATAGATTTAGGGCAGACACACCCCCGACGGCCAGAGGACTGGTAGGAGGAGCAGCCATGAGACAAGTGGTGTAGTCAAGGCGGCGAGTAGTGGCGAACTCAGTGACGGCGGCAGTAAGGGCGGAGACAGAGGACAGAGAGCCACGAGGGTCCGTAACAAGAGAGGCGAGAACACGAGATAGAACAGGTCAGTACGTGCGGTAGTAGTCAGTGACAGGAGTAGAGAGGGAAGCAGTGAAGGCTGACGCAGGGGGAGAAGGAAGCACAGACGAAGACAAACGAGGCGGACTAGGACGGAACAGGATAGTACGAAGGTCAGTGAGAGGGACAGGGGATGAAGGACGAGCACGTGGAGAACGAGAAGTCCAAGCGTGAGAAAGAGGAGGGGACAACGGAGGCTGAGAACGGGGGAAAACAGCTAGGGAGGAGTCAGGAGGAGAAAACGTGGGACCGTAGACAGGGGGAGAGGGAGTGTGGAGACCGAGGGCTCGAAGGCCGGAGACAGGAGGCGGAGGTGGCTGCTGCTGCTGCTGCTGCTGCTCCTGCTGCGGCGACTGCTGATGCTGCTCCCACTGCTCCTGCTCCGGCGGCTGCGGCTCCTCCAGCTGCGGCTGCTGCTCCTCCAACTGCTCCCGCAGCTGCGGCTGCTGCGCCTGCTGTTGTAGCTCCAGCTGCTGCCGCTCCAACTCTCGCCCCTCCCGCTCCAACTCCGGCTGCTCCTCACGTGCAAGGCGAAGACGCGCATGGTGCCTGGTCGGGTAGGTGTGGGGGGGAGGAATAGTGTCCGGGGAGGCAGTAGCCCCAGGACCGCTCTCCAAAGCACCAGTCGCACCACCCCCAGAGCCAGCACCACCAGCAGCAATGTGGCCAGTCCCAGACTCTCCAGGTCCCGTAGAGGGCGCACCCGCACCCCCAGTCCAAGCACCCCCAGGGCCAGCTCTCCGAAGACTAGAACCCCCCGCAGACACAGGCTCAGCTCCAACTCTTGCACTCCCAGCACCAGGGCCTCGTGCAAGCACAGTCTCAGCTCCAACTCCAACACCTCCAGAGGTAGCACCCCCAGGGTCCTCGAGACGAGCACATGCTCCCGCAGGGTCTGCAGTAGGCTGTGAGGAGGACTGTGGGAATGGGACGTCACCTGAGGGGCTACCAAGGGGGGGGGGGTTAGCGTGTGACACACCTGACGGGGCTGGACCAGGGGGGGGTGGGGGGGTGTACCGGAGGGGCAAGAGGGGGAGCAGGAGTCAGGATGAGAGGGGGGGGAGGAACCGAAAGATCTCGACAGGGGTACCGGAACTTGTAGGGGGCTGACTCGACAAAACAGACATCGCGGGAGTCAAAGAGCCGGTGAAGGGGGGGGGTGGTAAAAGGTGAAGTCAGAGGAGTTCTCGGGGAAACCAAGGAAGACACAGGGAAGGGCGTGAGGGGAGGGCTAGTCCGCGGAGGTGTCGCAAACAAGCGCCAAGCAGCCCCAAACACGAAAACGCGACGCAGCACCAGGGGACCCGGTCCAAAGACTGGTCAGTGAAGCCTCTGGCCGAGAGACACGTGGCCAGAGGTTCAGCTGGTGAGCGGCGTACCGTACCGCGTAGGGCCATAGAAAATGGGGCGCGCGGGCGTGGATCATGGAGGTGCGAGCAATCTCCATGACCAAGCCTATGCGGAGTTCAGCAACCCCATTCTGCTGTGGGGACTCTGGAAGCATCCAAGTCCGACGGATGCCCTGTTCGCGACAGAATCCAGCGAGAATGCCGGAGCGAAACTCACCCCCGCGGTCGGAGTGAAGACAGCTGACACGATGAACACGAGTGTCCGCAGTGGTAAGTAACCACCGGATCAGCGTAGAAGTCACCTCAAACTTCTTTGCCAGGGGGGACACTCTGGTGTAGCGAGAGTAGTCGTCAACGACCACCAGAAAGAAACTCTCTCGCTTAGGGCCAGGGCGAGGGGCGGGGCCCCAGACGTCCAAGTGGAGAGTCTCGAAGGGCTCGGTGGCCGGACAAAGGGAGGAGGAGAAAGGGGTGGCGCAGCCGACCCTCAACGCAGGGACCGCAAGATG